AAACTGTAGTTTAAGTGAAAGTTTATGTTAATTTGTAAACTGCCATCTGACTAATCTGTCTTATCAAACTGTAGTTTAAGTGAAAGTTTATGTTAATTTGCAAATTGCCATCTGACTAATCTGTCATATCAAACTGTAGTTTAAGTGAAAGTTTATGTTAATTTACAGATTGCCATCTGACTAACTGTCTTATCAAACTGTAGTTTAAGTGAAAGTTTATGTTAATTTGCAGATTGCCATCTGACTAATCTGTCCGACTTATAGATCTGTATATATGTATTTTTTAAGTCTGCATTATGTATTCTGGTCTGTTATGATTTGGCTTGTCCCCTCCAGTTTTTATAAGCAAATTATGCCCCTGGATTTAAGTACAGTGAGTGGATACCAATAAATGCCATTAGTCAGAAAACATTGTAAACAGTAAAACTTACTGCATGAAAGATAGAGTCTGGTGTTTGCCCTTTCTGCCAAGAGAGTTCTACGTCACTTTCAAACTGTCCAGGATTTGATGCCTAGAGAGAAAAAATTATATTATTACTTTGAAAAACATACGCTTAGAATTCTGAGCAATTGTAGTAGTTTGTCTTTATATTGTGTACTATTCTTTAAACTACAGTTTAGTGATATAGATTAGAAATATAATAGTGCTGACTTGCAAATTAACAAACTTTCTTTTTTCAAATCTGCATTATGTATTCTGATTAAAATTATAGTTAGTACACATGTATATTAAATGATCTAAATCTTTTGTAAATCAGCAGAATCTTCTTCACAGCTAGAAACACTCAAGACCTTAATATCATCTGCAAATTTAAGTAATTTATTGACTATCTCTTCATTCATGTCATTGATGTATATCAAAAAGAGTAAAGGTCCTAAGACTGATCCCTGAGGTACCCAACTTGTGACTTTAATCCAGTTTGACTGAACTCCATTTGTAACAACCCTCTGCTTTCTTCCTTCCAGCCACTCTTCTATCCAATTTGCTAACTTATCCCCTACGTCTATAGAGCTATTTTTTTACAAGCCTTTTATGCTCTGTAGACGGAGCAGATTTAAGAAATCTTTAAAGCTGCAGAAAAGGTTATTTATTTACAGCTCAGAATTTATTATAGTTAGAATTACAGCATTAAAAACCTTAACAAAAAATAAATAGCTTGGATTAATGAAACATTTTCTATTTCTTAAATACCAATACCTTGTTTACAACAAGAAAGTTTTCAATTTTCTCTCCATTTGGTAGAATGATGTCACCTGTTTCTTTAACAGCATCTGGAAGAACAGAACTTATTTCTTGAGCTATGACTCCTGTGTCTGACAATTCATTGCTCGACAAACCTGCTTGTTGAGCAAACTCTGGTGTATAGCAAAACTTCATAATTCTCATGTTTGACACATTCTTCAGCTGCTTCCGTGAATCCAGCTGTTGCAAGACAAACGTTAAATCATGTTTCAAAACAATTACAGAATAAACTGAAATAAACAAACATAGTGTAATGTTATAATTAATCATCAGTCAGTCTTGAAAAATGAAATACTAAGAACTATATGTTTAAATGTAAATCAAACTGCCACTTCATTATAAAGCTTATAGAAGGTTTTCACAATCTTAGTTCAAATATTTTTTTAATCATGAAGCTTGAGTTTAAATTCAGTTTGCAGTTTTCATAGCACTGTCTAGTTCCTAAATATAAAATACTCATATCTTTACCTCAGTCGTGTTGATCTTCACTCTAATATCTGAAGGTTGAATGATGTGACCAGTGATTTTTATGTTTCCATGTACAACAAGAGGATCATCTGGTTTGTCAGTATTTATTCCTACCCGGCCCTAAGATTCAAGAAGCTACACTGTTATTATGAATTAATTTTAGATAGAACAAAAAATTGAACACAAGCAGTTTAACCTTTTAAGATTAGCTTTTGTTCAAGTAAAAAAAATATTTCAACAAAATACATAAATAAAATCTTAAGTAAACATAACAAAAAGCATAATTCATTTTGTTACAGAACCTAATTATCTATGAATACAGGCATGTATATGAATATATATTACAACTGACTGGATATTCAGAATAAAAGAACATACATTTTTTGATAGATTAACATTCAAAGTTAAAATGCTACCATAATAACCTTTAGATTTCTAGATGTAACAAGATTACAGTTTTAAATTCTTGGAACAGAATCAGCTATTTGAGTTTGTTAATTACTATCCATAGCTATTTAGCAACTTATCAGTTTCTAAGATTACTTTTTTTCATGTTAAAGGCAGTAATTATTCTCATACATCTAATAACATAGAAGAATTTTAAGAAATCTTTCATTAATCAAGTTTGAAAATGGATGTTTACTTTCTTAATAATTATTTCTTGCACTAATGATTGTTCCTTGTACTAAATTACAATTGTATGCTTGGTTCCAGGTACATTTATTCATACATGTAATTATGTACACTGTACAATTATCATGTATACTTCCTAATATACTTTTTACACGTACATATGTATTTAAAACAATCTGAACACTTGATATGAAGACTAAAGTTTAGGACAACATATACCAGTAACTCTGTTAATTAAATGTGCATAGAGTTGGTTCAATAAATGTTAACTATAATTCCAAGTTTATCAAGTGTATCCATTAAATTTGGCAAGCTTTTAGTTAAAAGTACAAGTCTGATGTACACAAAAATATGTGTTACTAAAGTTTTGTACTAAAGATATATTTATGCAGTGCCAAAGTTAGTCTGGGTCAGACTCTGACAAGTCAGAGAACAAGGTGATGGTCATGTGAAGAATAAAAATTATTTTGTCCATCATACCACTTGCAAATTGCATTTGCATAACCTCTATAACTTCATTAATGCATATCTAATGCTTTTCAGTATCCTTTTATATTTTATTTGGTATTTTCTCTACTGTAACTTGAACTGTTGCAATCATCAATGTAGGGTATTATGAAATGTTAATATCATCAAATGCATAATATCATGTTGAATTGCACTCTGTACAAAATTGGTGAATGTACACTTTGACCTCCATCTGTGCACATAGGGTTAAGTATGAGCATCACAGTTACAATAACTGCTAATTTTGTCCTTCCATAACTATTCTTTATTTAGGGACATTCAGGTAATTCTTCTATAATTTCATGTAGGTGTTTAGCATGTAGTTATGATATCCTTGTGAATAGGATGTACAGAGGTTGTAATATGCACTAATCCTTTTGCACATGTAAATTTTACATAATACAGAAACTCGAACCAGTTTAATCCTGTTTCTGGGTCTACTCTCTGGGGTGGGGTAAGCCCAATTTAAGGGAATTACACAGATACTTGTACACAGTGTCTATCTTCGCCATTGCTGACACAAAGTGTTTGGGCCTTTCACAGTATACTGTAATAAAAATAGGTGACAGAAATTGTACGCAAGAAAGATGTGGTACATTCATCAACAGGTCAACCACATGTTTTTTGGATTTTACAGCTTCATCTATATAGGTCACCCATATCAAGGAGCCCTAAGTAGCTGCCCTGCATTAAATCTGGCTCTGCTCGTACAAATTATTATGAGTTCGGGTTCTCTCCCTTGTACACATTATTTGGAATAGTCAATGAGCTAGGTAATTTCAGGATTATGGGATTCTGTATAAGGTTCCTGACTTGACTTGAAAGGTGTGATATTACCTTCTTCTTTATCTCGTGGAATTCTCTTTCCAGCATCAGTATCAGAAACCAGTGAGTGTAGTATCAGAAACCAGTGAGTGTAGTATCAGAAACCAGTGAGTGTAGTATCAGAAAAAAAATTAATAAAGATTGTTTTATTTGTTCATTTATGTCATTCATCTTTCTTGCTGTCCACATTCACAATATTTCTCTGTTACCAAAACCCGCATTTTGCACGTGCTTGTAACTATGTTACAGATATCAGTGTACCTGAATATCATGTATACCTTATGTAATTACAAGCTTGAAACATAACTTTACCCCAGATAAACAGTCTTTATAACCATCTTTCCACATGTACAATTAAAATGAAAGCACCTTTAACCATAAAACACTCTACAGTGATGACTCTTAAAACTACCAAGGCTCTAAAATGCTGACACAGCCTCTTTATTGTGCTATTTATGCCATGGACATAGTAAGGTCCTAAAATTACTTCTTGGTAATCACCTATAGGTTCCAAGTTCTGCTTATTATTGTTAATTAGAAACTAGTTTTATGAACCCTGTATCATAAAAATGAAAGGAGTTGAAAGTATGAAGATTTTGAAAATGAGACAAAACTCGTACATTTTGGAATTGAAAAATATAGTTGAGTGTGGTATAATGAAATATCTATTGGATAAAAGGAATGTTTTGAGTGTTCTTGATGTTTTATCAGCAATTAAATTTCCACCTTGCCCCAGTCTCAACCTCCAACCAAATTAACTAAAAAGTCTATGGGTTGTATGCTCTGGTTCAGAACTAAATATAAGATATTGTACATTTTTTGTCATGCATATGTTTGGATACTTGTACATATTGGTATACTCCTACACATGTGTATGGTAGTTGTTATTAGTCTTACCTATCACACAAATAACAAAATACTTGTGTGTATGATGTATTTTTTCCAGAAAAATAATTACACATACATATTCGACTGAAAACACGAACTAGAAGTTGAAAGTTTTTGCCATTAAAATGTGATAAAACAAAATTTCTTGCAGTTGAAAATATAAACAATATCAAATTTCAATGTTATTCAATAAATAAAATTCAGTGTAAAAGAAGTACATTAAAAGCTAATTCACAAATGTTCTGAAATGTAGAATTAAGCATGGGCATCATTTGGTGGGGGACATGTCCTTTCATTTTTTTATGTATACAACTTATAGATCTAAATAAAACTGAAGTTAATACACATGTATATGACTTATAGATCTGTATATATATATATATTTATGAGTTGGGCAACTAAATGGCAGATGGGTTTTTATTATAATAACTGCAAGATAATGCATGTGGGTTATCATAATTTGAATTATAAGTATAATTTGTATGGGAATAACTTTAATAGTGTTATGAAGGAAATAGATCTTGGTGTAATAGTTAATTAGTCTCTAAAGCCATCCAAGCAGTGTACTGTTGCTAGTTGGAGGGCAAATAGGATTTTAGG